TGGGGCCCACTCCAGGTAAGGGCCTCAAGGGTGGAATGTGCAAGTGTCCAAGTGAGTGAGCCTGTGAGCACAGGGATGTTTGGGGGAGCTGTGTGAGCACAGGGATGTTTGGGGGAGCTGTGTGAGCCCAGGGGTGGATGGGGGAGCTGTGTGAGCACAGGGGTGTTTGGGGGAGCTGTGTGTGTTTCTGAGTCAAAGTATGCACACTGTGTGAACACTGGTGTCATTTTAAAATCACCCCTTGAATTGCTGGTTTCAGGCCAACCCTACCTTGGCTTGGAATCCTACTGAGGCTCATCAAAACAATACTATTTGTCCCTATCTGTTAGAGGTGAGGAAACAGAAACACAGAGATATTAAGCGGCTTTCCAAGGCCACACAGCTTGAAAATATCAGACCAGAGATATAAACCCAATCCTCTTGCACCAAAAGGGAAGCCCTAATCAGGCAGTGACCCTAAAATATGAGTCAGCTTACATCTTGTCTCTGACAAAAGCTCCTATAATGAACACCAGAGTTTTCACTGTGATCTTGACCATCCTGTGTGATCTATCAGCCCGGTCCCATCGCCTTCCTGCTCCCCTCCTTCCTGTTGACGAATTTGTTTCCTGTAACTAAGACACCAAGCCTGCTCCCACCTCAAGACCTTTGCACTTGCTGTCTCCTCCAAGAGGAATGTTCTCCCTCACAGGCTTTGGGTGCCTGGCTCCTCCTGGCCCATCAATCAGGTGTCAGCTCAAATGTCACTTCAGAGAGGTTTGCCCAGCCCTCCTGAATCACCCTGCTGGACTTTCATGACACCTCCTATCACCATAAGGCCCTCCCTGGTCCTGATGTGTCCCAAGAAGCCCCCCTTATATGCTCTGCCCCTGCTCTACACAGTGCAGCCTTCAAGGTCACTGGAGCCTCCAGAGGATCCTGTGCAGACACAGCTTCACCGCCTAGTCAACCCCAACTTCTATGGCTACCAGGACGCCCCCTGGCGGATCTTCCTGCGCAAAGAGGTGCCAGCAGCAGGCCAGAGGATGGGCTAAATATGGGCAGGGTTATCCAGGAAGCTAGGTCAGGTGAACCATGAAGAATGAGAGTGAGGCTAGAGCTTGGGTAGGAGTCAGCCAGGGGCTACATCTGGGCTGAGGTAAACCATGGGTAACTAAAGTCCTACCACACAGGTATTTTATCCTAAGGACAGCTACAGTCACCCCGTACAGCTGGACCTCCTGTTCCGGCAGGTGAGACCTTCTCCTCTCCTCCCACCTGCAGGGTCTTTTCTTTTGGGTGCATGGGTTTCCCTGACTCCCATAAACAAGGTTAGCAGGACCACACATCCATCTAATGAGTAACAGTTCAATCTGGGCTTATGTGTTTGCCTGTAACTCCAGCACCCAGAAGGTAGAGAAAGAAGAACCAGGAGTTTTGATACAAGGCCCTGTATCAAAACAAAACAAAACAAAAGTCTCTAAGTTCAGAGGGCCTAGAGGTCAAATCTCAGTCTCTAGGGATACATATGAAAACCAAGACCTGGGAAAAGCAGAAAGGACTAGGAAGGTAGCCATGTGAAGGATCAGATAACAAAAGCCACCCAGTTTACAGATGACTCGAGTGCCGCAGAGCAGGAACCCCTTCCCATAAACCTGGAACATAGACCTCAGCTTCCAGCAGGGACACACTTTTCCCCTGCAGATCCTACATGACACATTCTCTGAGGCCTGCCTACGCATATCTGAGGATGAGCGGCTACAGATGAAGGCCCTGTTTGGTACCTCGGGGAAGGGGAGGGAGGGCACTGATGGACAGTCAACCAGATTAGGGGCTAGCCCTTGCCTGGAAGAAGTCTAAGGATACACCCCATCATCCTCTTGCCTCCCACACATGTCTATCCTTATTCAGCCTCACCAGGCTGCATGTTTGGAGGTCAGCAACATGTAACATGCAATATGACCCTTTCATCTATCTGTAGCTTCTAGCTCCCTGTACAGACATTGGTCGGACAGCTTCTTGCTGGTACCAGCCTCTCACCCCCTGAGATGCGAGCTGGATGGGGGGGTGGGGTCTTGACCAGAATTGGCCTCCCTTAGCCCAGAACCAGCTGGACACACAGCGACCTCTGGTAACAGAAAGTGTGAAACGGGCTGCGATCAGCATGGCCCGAGACAGCTGGGAGGTCTACTTTTCCCGCCTCTTCCCAGCGATGGTAAGAGTCCCTGCTCTCCCCTTCTTGCCTGCCCAGAGCAGCCAGGGATAATGATGGAAGGCCTCACCAGGCTTACCCTTCCTAGGGTAGTGTGGGCACTGGCGTGCAGATCCTAGCTGTATCCCACACGGGCATCAAACTCCTGAGGATGGTCAAAGGCAGCAGAGAGGCCAGCAGACAGCTTCGGGTCCTCTGTGCATACAGGTGATGGCAGGCAGGTGGGAGTGGGCTGTCTGGACACAGGCACAGACTGGCATCAACATCTCCTGTGTTCCACAGCGGTGTTATTAAGCACCTGTGATTTGCTGGCTATGCCAAGTCCATAATAGAGACTTGGAAGTGAAGCACACAGAGAGAAGTTGATGGTCTCTGGTCACATAGGCAGGAAGTGCTTGAGCTGAGAGTCCACTAGAATGCTCTGCCTCTGGAGCCTCATGCCAGCCCTGTCTCCAGAGGGGGTAACTGCTGAGACCAACCAAGTCCCCAGGCATCTGGGAGAGAACTGGCTCTGGCCCAGAGACCCTGCTGAGTGCCCAGACTTCCTAGTGAAGTCCCTTTGAACATTTCAACATGAGGTCAGGAGAGAGCTTTGATCACTGGCTGGGCAGAAGCTCCTGCTCTCAAGGAGAAAACTGGGCCAATTGATGAGACAAAGATGCTGTGTGGGCAAAGTCTGGCTCTGTGTTTGGACTGAGGGGCTGGACTATGGCACAAGGGGTTTTAAGAGATACACAGAGGCCATGCGGTGGTGGTGCACACCTTTAGTCCCAGCACTTGGGAGGCAGAGGCAGGCAGATCTCAGTGAGCCTAGTCTACAGAGGGGTTTTCAGGACAGCCAGGACTGTTACAGAGAAAAACCCTGTCTCAAAAAACCAGAGAGAGAGAAAGAAGCCACAGATAGGTCAGAGAGGGGAAACAGGAACAGAAAAAGCCTGTAGGAGGGCATCTCATTGGCCTAAAGGTTTCTGCCCCACACCATCTTGTCTCCCCGCAGCTTTGCAGACATCCTGTTTGTAACCATGCCATCACAGAACATGCTGGAGTTCAATCTGACCAATGAGAAGATCATCCTCTTCTCAGCCCGGGCTCGTCAGGTCAAGACCCTAGTAGACAACTTCATTCTGGAGCTGAAGAAGGTTAGGATTCCTCCACAGATGGGGCCACCACTCCAATACAGATACACCACAGCCTTTCTGCCCAGAGAGTGTGGATATACTATGTACATGTGCACACTATAGAACACAGCCACATACCTCTATGCCAACGAGCTGTGTCTTCCCCTTGCAATGCCTCTTCTCTTTTGCCTCCCTAGCATCTTCTTCACACCTGCCCTCAGCGGTGTGGAACATACTTCCTGTAAGCCGCAAGCAATTGTCTCTCGAAACTGCATTACTTGCCCTCTGAACCTCCTTCTCTGTTTACCCCTATGCTTTGGCAGGACATGTCCCAGCCTAGGGAGATCCAGAGGAAAGTTTAGGGAGGGGTCAGTGGCTAAGGCACAAGAGTGTGCTCAGCACTCTCAGGCTCCCATCCTGTGTAACGCCTTACCCTCTGCCCATCTAAGGAACACCCATCACTTCCCCCTGCCACCTAGGGAACGTGCCTTCTCTGATTGTTAGGAGAATGGAGGTGCAGTAGAGGGAAGCCTGGAGTGAAGGCAGTACACAGCACTCTCTCTATTCCTGCTGTTTTCCAGGATTCTGACTAGCTGGTGACACTGAGGAACTTCCTGTCTGAAGACCCGGAGCTGCTATCCTTCCACAAGGGTGACATCATCCACCTGCAGGGCCTGGAACCACCTAGAGTGGGTGAGTTCCATGGCTGGGTGGAAGTGCACGGGAGAGAGGAGGCTGAGCAAATGGCTTCCCTGGCACATGCTGATGCAAGCTTTTTGCCCAGGCTACAGCGCTGGTTGTGTGGTCCGCAAGAAGTTAGTGTACCTGGAAGAGCTGCGGCGGAGAGGACCTGACTTTGGTGGGTGTTTGTGGATACCCCAAACCTGGAGCACCAGACATGGGTGCTAGTCCAGGTTCCAAACACACTGCAGACGCATGATAAGAGTCTATTGGTGCAGCTGGGCGTTGGTGGCACACACCTTTAATCCCAGCACGTGGGAGGCAGAAGCAGGTGGATCTCTGTGAGTTTGAGGTCAGTCTGGTCTACAGAGTGAGTGCCAGGACAGGCTCGAAAGCAACACAGAGAAGCCCTGTCTCGAAAAACAAAACAAAACAAAACAAAACAA